CACTTGAAATGCAGCTCTGGATGACTGATCCATGAACCCTATGTGACAAAATGTGACACCGACACACAGGGTTGTGCCTGGCAGATGCATGGCTGAGTGGCTGTCATGGTCCAGGCCTGTGAAGCCCTAGCCAAAGCCCACCCTTCCACTCTTGCTCAGCTGTTGGATCCTTGAGCATAAGACACCCCAAGTGCTGATGGCCTCCAAACCCCATGTGGGGGGCAGAAGTGAAAAGGGAGGGATGTCCACGCTTCCCCTCCATCCAGCTCCACCAGCACCCTCTCAAGTCCTGCTCAACTCCTAGCCAGAAGCAATGTGTGCCCTCCTCACCTGCTGCAGGGCCTGTTCCTCCTGAGTTTGTTTCTTTAGCCTCTCTGATGTGTCCTCCTGGTGACCGTCCTCTACTAGGGCAGGGGCAGCCTGGCCCATCTTGCACTGCCCCTTGCTGACCTTGCCTGCTGGGATCAGCTCCTGCCCCTGCAGGGAGCAGTCTTCATGCCTGGCTCCGCCTCCCAGCCCTGCCTCACAGTCAGTCTAGGAGCTCAGAGCACAAAGTAAGCTGTAGAGGCCCAGCTGCTGCCACCCCTGTCCCTCACCACACCTTCACATGTTCACGGAGGCCTCAGCACCCCAGCAGGAAGCTCTCCAGGTCCCAGGTCCAGTCTTTCTCAGGAGAGCCTGGTGGCAGCAGTCAGGTTGGCCCAGGTGGGGATCTGCTCTTTTTACTTCTCCTGGGATGGTGACACCAACGTGGAAGCAGAAGGCCCTGTCACAGATAGGGTCGGTCACCATCCTAAGGTGAGGCAGGATGCCAATGGCAGGATGCAGAGTTCTGTAAGCCTCGTCTGCTTTGGGGCATCCTCCAGCCCCTCTCCCCCTCCATCTGTTAATGACAAGGCCCTGTCTTGCCCTCGTCACTCTGCAGGACCTGCTTCCTTCCTGTTATTTGGTTCCCACAACACAGTAGCAGGACCTCCCAAGGATCAGGTCTGGGACAGTCTGAGTTGGGACATCCTCAGTGTTTGTGAATGAACTAGGCAGTCAGCCCAGCTCACTGAAGCCCAGTTCCCTTAGCAGTGAAGTGGGGATTAACATCTTCGTAGGCTGTAAGGATTGGAGGTGGGCATTTGTGCAGGGCTGGCCAGTGCCAGCCAGCATCACTGGGAGGACTGTTACCCCCACCCTTCCACTTGCCCATGTGGTACCCTGCATGCTACACACTAATCTGCTCCTCTTGCCCCTGAACACAGCTCCTCCCCACTCTGCAGCCTCCTCTAGACCTCCTGTAGATTCAGAGCAGCGTCAGGCCGAGGACACCAAGGCAGTTTTGTGGACAAGCTGTGACCAGACATGCTTTTACCTCTCTTGGCTGAGAAGTGTCTCGAAAGGCCTCACCTGTCTTTGTTCTGGGGTCTTCCTCTGCCCTCTTTTGTTTCCAGCTGGATTCAGGGTGGAGGGATGGCTGAGCGGAGAAGCATCAGCTTGACAACAAACTGCAGGGGCTATGTCAGGACAAACACGGACCAGGGGCCCATGTTGGTGTGGCTCGGGCAGCCCAGTCTCAGCGAAGATGTGCTCCTCCTTTGCCCTCACAATCAGTTTAGCGCCAGCCAAAGCCCAGCCCTCCGTGAAGACACCCCCTCCCGGTGCTCTTGGTCACCAACTCTTTCCATCTGATGTCACAGCAGGGTGGAGACAAAGTCACTTGTGTAAGTCGGCTTATCAGAGACAGACTGAGATTCAGCTACCTGGACACAGAGTCATGACAGGATGTGACAGGCCAACTGCAACCTGGAGACCTGGCAGGTGGCAATGTGACCCAGTCCACGTCCAGAGGCCTGAGGACCAGGGGTCACTGGTGTCAGTCTGGAGTCTGAGGTTGGAAAGCCTGGAGTCTCCACGTCCCTGTGTGGAAGGTGAGCATGAGTCATATCTACAGGAGAGAAAAGCGTCTTTTGGTCCTCAGAGCCCTGATATGAGGGTGGATGTCCCCGCTCAGTCCCCCCACTCACTGGTCAGGCTTCCCTGCACACACCAGAAGTCAGGCTTCACCTGGACTCCAGACAACCACAAACCTTGTCAGGTTGGCACTGGAGATTAACTTCACACCACCAGGGATCAGAGGTGTGGGCACCATACTCACCCACTCTGAGGTGCTCAGATTTAGGCATCCACACACTCTAACAGGAAGAAGGATCACATACCTCCAACTGAACCTCAGTGTCCTTTTATTTTATGAATGTAGCCAACAAACTTGGAACCTGGCTTCTAATTTAAAAATCAAGTTATTTTTATCACACTAATTACTGCAGATTTTTCAAACTGTTTTATGCTCATTGCTACTTTGAGATCATGATAGCAAGTACACAGGAGGCCTTGATATTTGATACATTAAGAACCCCACACTATAAACCAAGTGTGGTGGCACATGCCTGTATAATCCCAGCACTCAGGCAGGCGGAGGCGGGGGATCCCAAGTTGTAGCCCAGTCTAGGTAACACAAACTTAAGAAGATCCTGAATTTAAAAAAAAAAAAGACAACAACAAAAATGGCTGGATGTATAGCTCAACGCAGACCCTAGCTTCAATCTCCAGCACCAATAAACAAATAATTGCTCATATATTAAAAGTTACTATCTCAGTACAACTTGTCTTTGTCACAATCTCACACAGTGTGTTTGTCATTTGAAACCCTCCTTAAGGCCCCATGTGTTGCCAGCAGTCACCAAAGAAGTCCACAGCAGAGACAGGGCAGGGCTAAGCCACTGCCTCTCCTGTGCCCGCCCATCTAGCAGCTCCTAACTCCTTGCAGTGATGGCAGGAGCAGTGAGCCTGGTGGGGCTCAGTGAGCAACCATCACGCCAGACCCCCTGCTGGCAGACTGCCCCTTCTGTCTCTGGGACTCCGAAGATACGAGGTCTTTTGGGGGAAAAAATGACATGAGTTACTTGTAGGACATCTATCAAGTCAAATGTGCAGATGCTGTATTAAGGGCTGGTAAAAAATTACAGCGTCTTAATTTTTAAAATTTAGATGTTTAATAACATACACTGCCACTACCTCCCTGAAAACAGTCTTCCTCACTCTGGACACTGATCTGCCACTATCCTAAGCAGTGTAGAGGTCCTCTTTCCTCAGTGGCTTTGAATATTATGGCTTGTGTTAGATGTCACCCTAAAGCCTCATGCAGTCATAGGTGGGGCTTTTCAGATGTGGCTGGACCTAGAGTATGTGACACTGGAACTGATTCACGTAAGATGCCAAGATTAAGGGCACCCCACCCGGGTGTGAGTGCTTCCTGCCTGAAAGGCAGATAGTCTAGACAGAATAGAAGGGACAGAATGGTCTGTTGTCCTTGCTGGCTTCCTTGCTATCTTACTGTATTCCTGCTTTCTCCCTGCCATGAACTGTTTCTTCTCTGCAATGTCCCTCTGCCATGCCACCCTGCCTTGCAATTAGTCAACTGTGAACTGAAACCTATGAGTTACAATAACCCTTTCCTCCTTTAACTCTGGGAATCAAGGTTTTTATGTCAGCAACAAGAAAAGTAACTAAGAGATGTGTTGTGATCAATTAATGCTGCTGTAGAGTCCCGTCCAACTGAATGACAGACTCCTAAAAACATGCGGGTGCATCATCATCCACCTTATTCACCAAACTGGGCACCGAGAAACTTGTCTCTTCCCCAGAGTCAAAATGACCACAAGAGGTAAACATTTTGAATCAATTCAGGACACTGAAGCAGTCACGAGAATACAATTGACGACATAAACAAGGACTCGCACAATTGCTTCTGAAGTGGTGAAAAGGATGGGACAAGTGTGTTCCCAACAAGGGGGGTATTTTGACACAATGGCAATGTGTCTTTTACTGTAATACATTTTTTAAAACGTTAAACATTCACTGCAGTTTTTGCTCACACCACAGTTAATTTCTGAGCATGAAGGTAAAGCATTTTCTTCTGATTTGAGGCAAGTCCACAGATAGAAGAGAGCTTGCGATTTTCTCAGGCTGAATATTTTTTAAATGTGAAGTCATCCTGCAGAATCAGTCCAGCATCGCATTCAGAAGGCATAGCAGGTCTGACCTCCTGCCCAGGTACCTACTCTCACAGCTCCCATCCCGCCCTCCTGCCCCGTGTCACTTCCTCCTCCTGACAATCCCACCTGGTGGGTTTTGCTGTGTCCCAGCATGGCCTCCTCACCTGGCATTCTCTCCCTGAGGACTGGCATCCTCACTGTGCTCATCCTCTGGGGCAGAAGATCGGATTTCTTCCCACCCAGGTCCTCAAACCTTTTTTGGGACCCCACCGACAGCAGTTTCCCAACAACAGCTCCAGAGCAGGCTGGCCTCTCCATGTTGCTCAGTAGGAAGCGCATGGTCCATACCAGGCCTGAGGATCCTGCACTATCAAACCATGTGAAGAATTGTTATCCCACTGATGACAGCAAAGCCAAAGCCAAATCCTTGCCGCCTCTAATAAGGGAGACAGAGCACAGGGAGGGTCTCTCTCACCCCATCTCCATCCAGACTGTGGACAAGGGGCCAGTGCTGTCTCTCACAGTCACACATCAGCATCTCACGAGCCTCAGTTTACCCAGATCCCTAGTGAGTGTTCAGGTGCATCCCCCAAACCACTATGCAAACAGACTGGCTCCTGAGGGGAGTGGCCCAGTTCTAATGCACGTGGCTTAGGAACTGTGTGACCCAAGCAGGTGCCACTTCTGCCACTAGCTTCCCCAGCAGCTGTAAAATGTGAACACATTCAAGAGCTTGGCCCGTTGCCCAGAACATCACAGCCACTTCACAGACAACAACAATCATTATAGATAAGAGACAAACAACAGAAGGGCTGGCAGTAACAGGCAAATGTGTCTTTACAGCGTGAGGAGAAACAATAACCGTGCAGGCCCCAGAGGACACACTGACCACTGAGCACAGACCCCACCACTCACCCTAGAAAGACCCAGAGGCTGCAGCCACCACCAGATGGCGCTATCTATAAAGCATCTTTTTCTTTATTTAAGTTAAACAATTTCAAGGATGGTTTCCATCTATAAAATGGACAAAGTACAAGCTCTGTACAGCAGTTCTTTTTAAAAATCAACTGGAAAAAAATTACCAAACTATATTTTAAATTTGCAAAACACACCCACAGATACCATCATTTCAGCTTTTAAGGAGATACAAGGACCACAGAGAAGACGACAATCTCTGCCTGCTGTGCTGGGACAGCTCTTGGGAAGTTTGTTTTAGAAACAGGAGTGAGAGAGTGGGACAGTCCCGAGGACTACAAAATAACACGAGCAAGTAAGTCACTTTGGCACGCTGTGTCCTGTAAACGGGGCTCACCTTGAGGTCCGGCCCAGAGGCCTCAGATGGAAGCCACCCACATGGTGCCCCCAAGTGGCCAGACAACACAGCGGATGCACAGGTGAGAGCTAGGGGCCCACGTGCCCTCAACAAGCTCCATCAGAAACCAGCCCCGTCTGCCCCTCATGGGTTTTTTTGGACAAAGCAGCTTATAGGTGACGGGGTGTGACCAGAGCCCAAGTGCTGGAGTGAGCAGCAGACTGTACCCTGACCTGCCCTGTGGCCCTGAGCCTCCACCTGTCCCCATGTGTGATCTCCCTTGAAGCCCACCTGGGAAGATGGCAGTGTGTGGAGTTCACCTGGCACACAGCTACCAGCCTCTAAGGTGTGTCTGACTGGTTGGCAAGGAGCAAATGAGACACAGGGTGACCACCTGGCCAGGCCTCCTGAGAGCCTATGGTCAGCTGTTCACATGGGGCTGGCAGTGGAGGAGAGAAGGGACCAGCAGGAAGGGTGTGCCATCGGTGACTCCAGGTCACCGATCACTACAGGTCACCACCAGGTCACCACAGCCTCCACAGCTCTCATGGGCACCATTAGCTCAACCAGCTCTGAGAATGGACGCCTTCATGGGAGAGAAGAGACGGAGGTGGCAGGGCGGGGACCATGTGAGTGATGGGGCTGGGGCTGTGTCATGACAGGGACACCAAAAAGTCAATGCGGCTCTGCAGGGACATTAATGTACCTGAGGCTGGTGCCCAGGCAACTCTTCCCATCACTGCGACCAAGTCCTCTCTACCTGTGCCTCATACAGGATGTGGCTGCTGTCTCACACCCAAGTCCTCACTGGATGGCATTGGACTGGGTGGCTCTGACTCCTCCCAGCTGTACTCAAGCCCCTGGGCAGCATGTGTGGGGGTTCTGGGTAACAGGATACTAAATGTGCAGGTCAGGGGGTGCATGGCCAGCGCTCTGCCTCCAAGTGTCAGTTCTGAAGGCCTGTTATATGGTCTCAGACTCCCACTAGTGCCCCATTAGTATGTCACAGCTATCTCGGGTCACAGGTCTGCCCTGTCCCACAGCAGTGGGGACACTCCCAGATCATATTAGGAGCTGTGGGATTGGGTTTTTTCCTCTAAAGAAGAAAAAAATTTAATTTAAAAAAATCCAAAGCAATACCAAGTAACCTATCTGGGTTTATGGATAACAAGAGACACAAGTGGATTTTCCAATACACAGCAGCAACTCCCACATGGAGGACACACAGAGATGCCCATGGGCTGGGGTCGGGGTTCTGGCAGGCCCCTGCTGGCCACAGTAGCACCTCCTAGCTGAGGCTCCAAGGGACAAAGGACAGGTGGCCCCTCCACCTTGACATGCACTGTGCTGTGAGGAGAGAAGCGACCTAGAGAGACTGTGGGGAACTGACCGTACATTCTCTTTTTATATATATTTATATTTAGTGTCCCACCATAGAAAAGTCACGTTCAAATACAGCAAGCACATCAGTGGAAGAGGGGGCGCTGGGCCTGGAGGCGCAGAGGGGTGACGGGACCTGCAATGACGTGAGCCGTGTTGTGGGACCCACATGACTCTGCTGGATCAAGTGGCGGTTTTGAGAGTTTTTGCTCCGAGGGTGCTGTGCACCTTCCTCCCTTTGCCACTGCGCCCACAGAGCTGCTTCTCCGCTGTGTGCCTCGGCCGGGTGGCTCCTTGGTACTGAGCAAGAGGAGGAGGAGGGCGGCCACAGGAGGGGCCAGCTGCGCCCCAGCAGAGCGGCTGACTCCTGGCCGCCACTGCATCTGTCAGCACAGCTGCGCCTTGCGGGAGCTCTCCGGCTTTCAGACCATGATGGAATACTGAGGTATATAGTTTCGCGGAAAGTTTAAGAAACTTAATCGATAACGTGATCACCAGCGTGGCCAGTGGTTCGGCAGCAGGTGTGGGTTCTGGGCTGCTACTGCTGCAGGTTGAGCGAGAACTTCCACTGCTGTGAGAGCGCTGGGCCGCACACCTCCACGCTCAGGCCGCCGCTCTTGGCCGTCCGGCTGTCCAGACACAGGTTGCTGCCCACGTGCCGAAGCTTAGAGTTGCTCTCAATCTGCTCCCACTTCTGCAAAACACAAAAGCGTGGCTGGGAGACAGAGTGTAGGGCAGGCCAGGCCAAGCCAGGCTAAGCCAGGCCCCAACAGGTCACCAAACAGACCACTCAAACAACCAACTCGCTTTCCATCTCTCTGCCTCTGACCATCAAGGGCAGGAGTCAGCAAGAGCCACAACATACCAGCCCCACAGTACAGAGGAGGGTAAAAGGGAAATCTGGGTTCTCTGGGTGCACAACTCAAACTCCCATCTTTCCTCATTGGGCCCCAGGTCTAGGTTATCTCCCTTATTAAGTTACTAACATGAGCACTCACACACAGGAGTCTGCACACGGGGAGCTGATGCAGTCTTCTCATCCCTGTCAGGGACTCTGGGAAGCCCCTGCTGTAGGGAACCACTTGTCTGTAGGCCTCACAGCACCTCCCAGTATCTGCATGGGGCTATGGGCTCAGCAGAGCCAGAAGAGTGGAGTCAGGTCCCCAAAATGAGGGAGATGCTGTAGGAACAGGTCAAATCCTGTAGGAAGGGGTCAAATCCTATGCTGTTGATTTCCTCTGCCACGCGCACCTGCTCACTTCCAGGGGGTCCCCACAACCTGCACGGCAGAGCCAACCTAGCCCAGTGCCAAACACACCACTGGCAGAGCACAGGGTACAATCACAATCCTCCTTACACGCACACATGGCCACCAAACAGCCAGAGAGGAAACAGCCCATCACAGACAAGGAAATCTGAGGTCTCCTTGCTCATGTTTATCAAGAAATGCAAACATCCTCATTTTAAAAATCTCTAATAAACGTTTTTTTGCCTGATATGATGGTGCATGCCTGTAACCCCAGCAATTGGAAGGCAGAGGCAGGAGGATCACGGTGAGTTCAAGGCCATCCTGGGCTACCCCGTGAGTTCAAGGTCAGCCTGAACTACATAATTCAGGACCCTTCTTGAAAAACCAAAACCAAACCAAAACAAACACCAAAAACTCATTTTTCCCCACAAAGCTCTTCCTTTATCAGCAGAAATCGTGGTTCCAATTAATTTTTTACACTGTCTGCACCAAAGCTCCTCTGCATAAGTAGTTAGGCAAATCCTTCTGACACTGTGGAATTTAATTTCCTCATTTTTGCTTCCTTTCCCCTTTGACTCTGCAAAGGTACACACAGTATGAAGGCACAGACATGCCTGGAAACTTAATATTCCCGTGGGCGAGACTGTTCTCCAGGAGAAGTGCTGAGCTGCCGCTTGTTGGAACCAAAGGAGAGAGGGCTCGGGTAATGGGGTGAGGCCCCCCACAAGCATGACAGGATGTTCTCCTAAACTCTGCTTGTTTACAACCACCTGCTTACGTGGAGTCCTTGGCACCTGCCCACCTTTCCTGGCTCTCACCAGCTCTTGACCCCTTTCACACTGCTGTCCCTCTTTATGTTTGGTACAATGAAGCAGTCAAGTCCTTTGAGCAGTCAACAAAGACTTTGGAGGAACGGAAATGCTTCTGACCTCTTTCTTCAGTTAAGAGAGTCAGCTAAGTGGTATATCTAAGCAAATCCGGCTCTGTCCTGGAAGATGGCTCGGACATGTGGGGTGTGTTGGGTGGACAGACTTTCCCATGTCCTAATTATGAGTCTTGGGGTACAATCCAAGAGATCCCATGACCCACATTCTAGGCAGCAAGGCCGATCAAGAACTGTTCCCACTTACAGTCTTCAAGGGTTTGTTACAGCTCCCATGAACTCAGACTAGAGGAGGAATTCCTATCAACTGTCCAAGTGATGCCAAAGGAATCACTTTATTACTACTTTATATCAAAGACATTCTGCCCATCATTACAGAGGAAATACTGCTTGGGTTCAAGGTAAGGTGGGACCACTTGGCACTTCTGATGCTGGCTTGGCTGGTTCTAGAGGTCTGGGTCCAGGGGACAGTGGCTGTCTCCAGTCTACCAGCCACTCCTCTGGAACATCATCCAAGCCAAGAAATTGTATCAGTGCAGACAACCATTTAGATAGTGAACAGAAGGCAGACATTGGATCCCTGCCACCAAAACAGGCTGGGCTTGTGCACAAGGACAGGGCACTCAGAGATGGGCACAGGGATTCAGAAATGATGAGTGGAAGAGGACCCTTTGCAGGTGCTTCCCTGACCACTGGAATCTAAAGAGACCAATCCCAGCCTCAATTCTCTCAGCCAATATGGCTTCCTGTTCTGTGGAATGAGGACTGGGCTAGAAGCCTGCTGGGCTTTCAGATACATAGGCTCTGTGCCTCAGTTTCTCCCCACCTCAGCTATCTTGTGAGGAGAGACCACAGGAAGATGGGCCAGTACTCCACACAGGGCATGCTGGATAATCTCTGTGATGCTTTTCTATTCCTGAAGATTGTTGCCCATGGCTCCAAGAAGGAGGGTGCCTCTAAGTTCTCATGGTGGGTGCATCAGACAAAACCATCTTCTGGGGTGCACAGCACTCTCTGAACTAATGAGGGGGCAGCATGGATGCTCCTGGAGTACAGCAAAGCTGTGTCCCACAGAATCCATAACAAGCTGGCAATAGTGATGTGAAAATACAGCTCACCCTTCATGGAAAAGGGATCCTGGGGCCTCGGGCTGTCCCCATCCAGGCTCTCAAGAGAGTAACTGTGCCTCACTAGCCTGGAAAAGACTGAATTCATGCATGGTCTGCAGTGGATGCGGACTGCTTTCACACCATCTAAACAGAACCATAAGTACACACTGTCTCTACACACTTGCATGTAAGAGTGTAGAAGTCACATCCATTTGAACTTTAATTATTAAAAATTTCTGTAAATTTGAACGGGAAAAATATTCGATGTATAAACACAACATGTACTTTCTCTGTAAAATGCTATGTGGCATGGGGAAGAGAACGTGAATATAGTAATGTCAGAGCTTAGGCTCAGGTTGGACAGGCAGCTAGACATTACACTAGTGTGACGCAGGAACACATGTACACGGCTGCCACGGCACACGGGGCTGGTACACCCACCTGTCTGCTGTCATTCTCCCGGCAGCCCTGTAGCTTGACAAGAGCACCAGGTGCCCGGTCCACCACTGTAAGGCACAAGTCCATGTGCTTCACTGACTTCTCCTTCGTCAAGGCCCATTCCTGGAACACAGAACACACCACACGGGTGCAACAGAGGTGGACTTGGTAAGAGTCCCAAAGGGAAAGGGGGTCATGCTGGGAATGAGGTCCAGAATCCTAAACCAATCAGAACCACCAAATTACTTTCAGCCTGAGACACCTACAGATAGGGGACATTGCCTTCAATCTCCAACTAAAAACTAAATTGGTCAACAACAGCACAAAAGTGGCTTGCAAAACTTAGTAACTAAGAGTAACAGCATCAGGTATTGTATGCAGGTATGCTTTATTTTCCCCCCTGAGACAGGGCCTCCCTGTCTCAGTTCAGGTGGGATTAACTTATTATATAGTCCAGGCTGGCCTAGAACTCACAGTGATCCTGCTGCTTCAGCCTTCTGATTCTGGGATTATAAGTGCTGGGATTACAACTGACAGCATCTGGTATTTTAATCCCAAACATGAGTTAGAGTGCCAGGTTGCTCTTCTACGGTGACATGTGAGCCACAGAAACCACGGGCTCTGCTGCCCGTGAGGTGAGTAGCTGGGCTGACTATCCACCCTTTGGCAGTGCTCTCCTGAGCAGGTATGGTTTGGAAACAGTTACAAATCTAGACCAAACTGCAAAAGCACACATGACATGCTATGGATTCAAGTAAGATACAGAGTGTGAGGCTTCTTGGTTGAGTGCTATGCTGTTCGCTATTCTGGTGACACTCACGAGCCCTCTGAGCAGGAAGGGACAGTGTGCAGGCTGCACAGCACAGCAGGTGGCACCTGCTGCTTGCTCTGTCCCTGACACTGTGCTAAGCATTTTGAGAATACCCCGTGAAGGGCTCTTACTATTCTCACTTCACAGACAAGAAAATGAGCCATAAAGTGTTGAAACCTCCTCCCCCATGTGTTTAACAGTACACACATGTGTAAGTGTGCAAGCAGGCACATCAGAGGCTGAGACGTGTGGTTGTTTCTACTTAAATCCAAAAGATGAAATAAAACTGAACCCCTTGAGATATGACCGTGTGAACTAGGTTTTCAGTTTTATTTCATCTTTTGGATTTAAGTAGAAACAACCACAGGTCACGCAGGCCATCATGCAGATGAGAATGTCCCCTCAGAGTACACAATCTGCTCGGCAGTGTCTAGGAGACCATGACTCGATGATGTAGGTGGGCTATGGAGCAAGACAACCCCAGGCAAGTGGGCACAGGGGCTGCTGTGTCACTGTGCTGCCTCACCCACCTCCTGCCATGACTCTGTCTCTTTCCACCCTTGTATGTCCGACCCTTGCACTTTGCAGCTGTTTTGCATCAGTCAGGAGCCCCAGCACCCATGTCTCGTGACTATGAAGGAATGCCATCAGGCTTGCGGGGCACTGGGCCACTGGGATCAGTGTTTGTCAAAGCTCTCTAGAAGATGTCTATGTGTAGCACTGGAACTGCGACACCGAGCAGGGCATGGTAAGCAGGTCCCAGCACATACCCACTGAGGTGAGGGGAGAGGTGCTGGGTGAGAGGTAACACCCACACAGCAGCAAAAGTAGAAGAGGGCCAGTGCAGAGGGCATGATCGACTGTCCCCAAGGATGCCCTTGAGCTGCCCCATGCCATTCATGTGATGCCACCTGTCAGCTAAGATCTGCGCTGTGGCCAATATTCATGCTCCAGAGTCCACACTTGGGGGCAGTTGCTCTGATGGCTCTGATGACTGTCCAGTCTGTCCATGAAAAGCTGCCTGAGAGCAGCATGTCACCAGTGGGTTCCTGCACCTGTGAATGGGGTGACACTGGTTCATTTTTCAAGCCAGTGTACCCCTGGCACCAAGCTGGGGGTTAGTTAGAAATAGAGTCTTGGGCAGCAGTTTACACTTGCACTGTGTTGGGTGGGCCAGGATGTGTGGACCCCTCCTGATGCAGCTCCCTAGAAGGTGCCCTGAAGTCAGAGCCATGCCTGAGAGCAGGAAACGCTGGCCACAGGCAACTAAGTGCAAGCAACACTTCTGCCTCCTGTTAACCTGCGGTCACTGCAAGACTGCCTGCATGAGCAGCTGGGATGAGAGGTATGGCCCACAGCAGGCATGAACCCACTGGAGAACACAGGCAGACTCAGGTTGGGATGCTGGCCCAGACACTCCACTCTGTACCCTGCAGGCTAAGGCCTACCACACCCCAGTAGAGCTCCTGACATAAGGCCTGACATCTGATCATTAGACTCTTACCAATGCTGCTGTGGGAACTCAGCACCGAGCAAGAGGCAAGGCTAGCAGGCACAAGGAAGAGTCTGAGCCCAGCAGGCTGGGGTGGCATCTCTGCTTTGCAATCATGGTCTGAGGTGAGTGTCACTCAGCCCTACCCATCAGCCACATCATGCATGGGGGGCACTCTGAACTAATGCCACAGACAAACCAGATGCCATTTCTTTAAAGCTTTAGGCACCAGCTCTCTGAGAATCAGGTCACTTTGCTTCCAAAGGTGTCTACAGCACATTCAAGAACAGACATGGCTGCAAATGTAGAGTAGGTGGCTTTGTGGGGGTGAGCATACAGCAGGATGGTCAAAGCCAGCACAGTCAAAAGGATGAAGGCCATAGGCCCTATAGCCTTGCCTAGACCACCCTTGGCCACTGTGCAGAGCCCAACTGAAGGTAAGGACCAGCTCCATTTTCAGTCCAGTTCCACAGTGTCCCGGTTGATCCTGAGGCTCCACAGAGGCTGGGATCAGCAGGGGCCAGGCCCTCTTTGTAGGAAGGAGGTGACATCCACAGCTACCTCCTTAGGACCTTCCCTGTCCCCTCGAGGACTACAGGTGCACACCCTCCCAAATACCTACCTGGTTTCCCCCAGCATTGTGACACTCGTAAATTCCAACGACACCATCAGCAAAGTGTCCCAATGTATCAAGGCAGTTGGTCCCTTGCTGCAAGGCCCCAAAAGCTATGTCTTGATGGTCTGGAACCCTGAAAGGGAATTGAGACCAATGGTTACCTCTGAGGTACACCAGCCACCTGGAATTCCCGCTCAGTGACCTCATCATGGTAGTGGAAATGAGACAGCAATCACAAGGCTATTCTGATGTAGCAGGACTGATGTAGCAGGATTCTAGCTTCTATGCTCCTAATGCTTTAAGATGGGAGTGAGAGTTCTCTTGTGGTTTCTGGGCCAGGGAAGGTTCTCTGGGAAGGAACAGCCCCTGATGTAAGTGCTGGCTGTTCATTTAGAAAACCAGTCAACATGGCTCTCCACCCTGTACCAAGGACTGTGTTTCTTAGGCTCTGCGTGAGTGGACTGCAGGTGGCCCAAGGCACACAGAACCTTGTGATCTAGAAGGACAGTGAGTTTCAGCTCCATCTCTGCACACACTGACCATGTGGCTACTCAGGTGAGGATCACTCTAAAACTCAAAGTGCTCTCTCTCCTGTCTGAAACCCACTCAGAGAAGGCTGTTATGCAAATATCTCAGAGAAGGCCCTCACCCTATGCCTGCCCAAAGCAAATGCTCAGCAAAGAGTGGCAACTGTCACAGACAAAAGAATAGCTGTGCCTCCTGCATCTGCCAGTGGGGTTAGGGTCCAAAGAAGATATGACCAGCAGGGGTTGGGAATTCAGGGAATGGTCTTGACAGGGCTCAGGGCTAGTGCTACCCCAAATTGAGGAGACCTCAGTGAAAAAGTACGTTATTGTTCTGGCTGATATTGTTACCCACCAAGTCAGAGGCAAGTCTGACAGCAAAAAGAAGTGGTTTCTGCCACTGTGAGGCTGAGAACGCTGCCCAAGGTTCCTCCATGGTAGGACAGATGACAACTGGGTCTGCCCCGCTGACCACTACTGCGCCTAACCCCAGGCAAGTTGTCCTTGGTAGAGGGAATAAGGCTGCCTGCTGTCTCTTCTACCACCCTAAAAGCTGAGGAAACCGCTCTGAAAAACCATGGCTGGGACAGCAGCGACAGCGAGGCCTCGTCACTGACTTGTACTCATTTCCCTACAACAAGGCTCTAAGGGTTCCGCCAGCAGGAAGAATGGCGGCTGTACTCAAGTCCCAGGTCCCTGTGCACGTGTGTATGCTGCTGTAAAAGGCTCCGGGACATGTGGACAAAGGTGGTACCAATGAGGCGCAACTCTCTGACCGCCCTTTGATAAGAAGAAGTTGACTGGGCCCCTGGTCTCCTACAAGGCAGTCAGTGCCCCTCAGGACACAGAGCCTGTAACAGCTTAATCAGGAAGACAAACGAGGCGGACAAATGAGGCTCAGAAGAGGCTTCTGCACCACGGACCCTTAGGGGAAGCAGGGCCTCAACACATACTATGGTAAAAGTGGCCTCCAGGAGAAAGGTCAGTCCCTGGCAGTAGAGCCCTGTATCTACTTCCGCCCTGATCTCTCTCAGCCAGTGTGGCTCTCTGCCTCTTTACAGTCACGGGTGAGCTGAAGGAGCCATGAGGAAGGACAGGATCAGGGACCACTCCCTCAGACACTGGGGCTCTTCTCCAGAGGGGAACAAGGCAAAACAAGGTGCTGTGTTGAGATGGCTCCCAGGTCTGTGCCGAGTAAGGGGAATCACCTCATGGGAACAAAGGAGGCCATGACCAGAACTTGTTCTTAGGGGTCCCGCGGACAGAAGTGGGGTAAGGACCCACTCTCCCAGGTAGCGCTGGTGAGGCCTGTGAGCTCTCCAGGCAAAGCTGCAGGTTCTGGGACTCACCTCAACTCCGGGTAGACATTCTCCAGGTACCACTGGAAGGGCCGGCAGCCAAGCCGCTTCCTGAGCTCCAGTCTGCTCTGAATGCTGCAGAGAGGAAACATATCAAGCACGGACCTATAAACACCTCAACCATGAACATCCGCGTAGCAATGGGTTGGGCAAGGGGTGTACCTCAGTCTATGCAGGCCCTGCTGACTACAACCCTGCCACCCACACCCAGCCCTATGCAGCTCTTGTTGTCACCTGGACACACCCCTGGACCCCAGGCTCTCCAGGCAACATGACTTACTTCCCATATGGAACATTTCTGGCTGAAGGCACTGCTGCATAATAGAAGTTCTTATACTCATCCATCCAGACCTCTGCTGCCCGGCGAGTGTTGCTAGAAACAGAACAAAACACTCTTAAGGTGTGATTCTCTCCTTCTGAAGCTGTGCTAAACTGCGCTTGTTTGCTGGAGTGTGGCCAGGGGAGACAGTGGCCTTCCAGCGAGTCTAGGGCCCACAGCTGTTCCAGCGTCTCCCCACAAGACCATCAGACAGCAAAAGGGGAGCTGGAATGACAGGGTGCGGGGAACTATAAAGGGTCCTGGCCAGACCCTGAGAGGGACAACAGTCACTGCGGAGTAATGTGCTGTGTGCTCCTGAGTACACAGCAAAGAGACGCTGAGATCTGCACCTTGGTACCACAGGCCAGGTCAGCTCTAAAACTACTTCCTGCTCTGTAGACCTGAGCCAAGGCCATGACGCCAGCCTAGGACACAGCGGCCCTTAGTGGGCACCAGAGATGTGCATCTTGTTCTTCCACAACAGTACAGCTGAGAGTAATGCCACCTTCAAAATAATTCCTTTTATCTACCAGAAACATTTCTTAAATGCTAAGTCCTTCAAGATCCCAAGCTATGATTACAAGAGCAACTTTCAGGTACGGCCTCTGTCTTTCACGCAGACTGATATACTTATCTTTCTGTCTGAAAAAAGGGGACTTGGGCTGCCACCAGGAGTACCAGAAAGAAACACACAAGGCAATACCAGGACTGTCTACCTTGGGGTTCTACTTTTGGAAAATCACCTACAGGAAATAACCAGGACTGACAATGCATCAATGAAAACAGGCTCATTTAAGTGCAGTTTATAATGGCAAAAAATAACTAGAAACTGTAGAGCTTAACACAGAGACATGAGACGAAAAATTCCTGTGAACAGTAGAAATCCAGGATGCATGGGACTTGGTGTGGATGAAGATCACTCATGGTGGGTATGTGGAGGGAGGAGAGCGCAGCACAGAGACGGAGACTGATGGAGACCCTGAGCCAGCGTGTTTGGGAGCAGCGTATAATCTTCTTTGGTAATAAGATGCATGGGTTTTTATTTTCTCTCACAGAACAATGAGTACTTCAGTGTTGGGGAACATGGGCCCCAAGTGCCATTCCTCAGACAGCCGCCAAGGCCTCACAGTGGGACCTGTGGTCGACCTTACCAGACGATTTCTGGCTTAACTTGGCCTAAACTCTGGCCAGGTGGCTTGTAACCAGGCCAGGACTCCAGTCCTTTGATACCCAAACCCTTGCCAGTACACAACAGAACCTGATTCAAGGGTGTCCTGGCTCCTTTCAGCCCTAATGACTTCCAGAACTTATAAATTTCAATCACACAGTGTTTAAATTGTTTAAATTATCTAAGTCTTTATGTCTGCTTACAGAAAGGTAGACGTGGGGAGTCCCAAATATGCCTCAAGGTGTGCTATGGTGTAGCCTGAAGAAGTCCCCTCAAAGCCTCATGGAAGGTGACTGATCACAGGGGCAGTGCACTCACTGGGGAGTTCAGCAGTGCTGTTGGAAGGTGCTGGTCGGAAGTGGCAGGTCACAAGGGGCATGATCTGGAAAGATTTTGTTTCCCTCTATGGCTCCTCCCTGTTCTCTTTGTGAGCAGTCTTTCCTCCACCCAGGCCCTTCTGTCAAACTGCGAATTATGCAAGGGCTGAAATTTCTTAAAATATAAGTCAAACTAAACCTTTCTTCCTTAAAGCTATGGATGTCAAGAATTTTGTGCCCAGGGTGACTCAGTAGTGGTTCCTTCCTTTCATCCATTCATCCATCCATTCGGATACTCACTGGTACCTACCATACCCCAGGGACTCAGGGGTGTCAAGAGAGAGGCCCACTTTTGCCCATTCCTTCTTTGATTTGCAAGCATTTACAGAGTGAGTACTTATGCATCTGACGTCACACAATATGGGAAATGGAGAAGCCAGAAGGGACCTTAGCCATATAAAACTCCACCTCTTCAAGTCTGCTAAGAGGGAGACAGCCTTGCTGAAGTTGGCCAGGTAGTAAAACATGTAATTCAAAAGTTCATCTTCTGAACAGGGTGTCCTTATTCCCTTACTAGCCATTAATCCTAGGCATGCTCTGTCACTGAGCTACAGCCCCAGCTTTTTTAAACATCTTGAGACACAGGCCCACTAAGTGTTCCAGACTGGCCTTGAACTTATAAATTCTCCTGGCTCAGTCTCCCAAGTAGCTAGGGTTACAGGCATGTGCCACAATGCCCAGCCCAAGACTGTGTGTACAAAGTGACATTACGGGAGTTTCAACATACCATTTTCCAACTCCATTGTTGGCTGGGTATTATCAATGGCTTTGATTTGGGGTATCTGATATGTCTACACTAGAAGTTTCTGGAAACAATTTCATGTTCCCCCAGGGAAAAAGTTACATATCAATGTTTGATTTCATGAAGTTCATTGTATAAGATTGTATTTTTGTTAACACAGCAAAGATGGAGCACAGACAACGTTCATGAAAAGACGTGTTTTAAGGAATGTAAGTCAGAAGCACTATCTATCATGTTGGCTTCTATTAAAGTTGCCCCAGAAACAGGCTCTACATGTTAAAAATTCAACCTCTGCTTAGCATGTGTATTAGTAACACCCCAGGCTTTTGTCTTCCATGGGTGCCATGTCATCACAGCAGTGGGACATGCCCAGTGTCTCCTTAACTCCTGGACTGTTTGTCTGCCTCAGACAGAGTGGGGTGGGACCCATCTCCTAGTTGCACACTTGCTCGGGTATCCATAGAGCAACTGGGTAGGGATACCAGCCCATCACCTGACATCGCCTCTCTACCACCCTCTGTCCCTTGGCTAGAAGGAACTTTCCAAAGCCAAGACAGAAGTCAAGTTCCTGCTTACAAGGCTAGTGGCTTTCCCTGGCATCAAGGAAGCAAAAGGTTTTGGTCACCTATAGGGTACACGGCCTGGCCTGCTGAGCCTTCCCGGCTCTGTGCACTCTTCTCCTCTAGGCTCTGGCTGCCCTGTGTCCCTTCAGCTCTCACATGTGCCCACAAGTCCCTTCTCAGCAGCCTGTCCTGCTCCAGGGTCCCAGTCTCCCAGGTCCCAGGGTACCCTTTCCCCTTCCTGAAGGTACCTCATGTGCTCTCCACCTGCAAACCCCCTTCTGCCTGTCCCAGTCATGCTCAGTCACATTTTATCTTCTTCACGGCACTGATTACGTTTTTTGTTTTTGCTTTTTTTTTTTCTCCCAACCAGGAATTGAATTCAGGACCTTGTGCTTGCCAGGCAGGTGCTGTGCCGCTGAGCCATATCCTCAGCAAGGCCAGTATTTGAAGTGATCTTATTTAGTTGAGTATTCTGCTGCCTACTCTCACACAAAGGTACATTAACAGGGGGTCCCAAGATCCAACTCACACGCTTTTACTTCCGCATTTGAGAGAATTCTTAGGAAAATGGGATCTGACAGAATGGTGATTTGCTATTTTTCAAAAGCATTTCACCTGGCATCATTGGGTTTCCTAAAATATATCTTTTATCAATTACAAATCACATCTACATACTATGATGTCCTTTTGTAGTATATCTTCTGGTTTGAATGTCTCTTGTACACGCCTCTTAAAATCTGTCACTATGACAGTATAAGATGTGAGCAGGTCAGCAAGGTGAGGCTGTCCTTTGCAGATGGAGCACTGGCCTCTCTGGTGTGCCCTTGCGCTGATCCTTCTATCACACGATGAGTATCCACTGCTAAGTTCTGTTTATCATAAAGTACTGAGTCTGTGGTGTCCTGTTAATATCCTTAACTGTACCGTGAGCAGTAACACATAGTAAGTTGTTTTCTTCAAAGTACTTGCCCACATCACCTTCTGTGGGGCACATTCATACATCTGTAGGTTTTCACAACTGTAACTGAGACAGACTAGTTCATCCCCAGATGCCCTGGTGCTGCCCCTGGCTACTGCTCCTACCCCAGACTACCCTTACAATCTCAGTTGCCCTGGTCAGCGACCCTATGCCCCACATTGGCACTGTTTTGGCAAAACACCATGGAGGGTGCAGAGGCAGCTGCTTTCTCAGCATTTTGCCTGCTGTGTGCCCGTCACCTGCTGCTTCCCACTGCTGATGGTAGCACACCTGTCACAGGATGCCGGTTCCCAGGCATGACACCCATTCCTAGAGCAGTTGGCAGGACTGTGGCCCTGTCTGCTGCTCAGTGTACTTACCGGGCAAAGACAGTGCCACTGCCACCTGGGAAGGTATAGGGGTGCTGCTTCCGGAATACATGTCCCACACGGCTACAGGGGATGATCTCCAGGCTGCCACCGCACTGCCACACGCGGAAGGAGATCTCTAAATGGAGATGAGACCCAGTGACCTGTGGGGTTGTTGGGTTTTCCCACAAGAGTCCCCATGAAGCAGCCGCCCTGCCCCCACTGCTGCAGGAGCCTGAGAAAAGCTGCTCCCTCCAGCCTGTGGCTTGCAGCCAAAGCGCTCCACGCGCCTGTGTGGTCAGACTCCACGGCGTGTGGAGTCAAGGAAGTGTGAAGTGGGAGATGCTCTTTGGATGTGGATTCAGTACACTCGAGTACTGGACCATGTGCATCCCAGATCATTTGTGGCTGACTTGTGCCTCCTGCAGCACAGACAATGCCAGGAAGGCAACCGTGAGGGTATGTGAATGTCAAGCTTTAATGCAGGCACCCCAGGTGTCACCTTCCTCTAAAATTCACTTCAAACTGACAGCACTAGGATGTGTCTGAGCTTCTCTATTTAGGGAAAATAATTCTACCTCTTAAATTGCATTCATGGGCCACTGGTAACAACAACAGGTGCTTTACAGACATGGTGACATAGACTTGCACTGGGTACCAACCCGTTGGCCCTGGCAGGATCCCTAAGGCCACTTTCACCTGCATCAACACAGACTGGGCTATGGGGTAACTCACATGTGGGCCAGGCACCACCTGCACCAACCCCAGCATACACAGTCCTTTCAGGAAAAAGGACCTGTTCTAACTGCTTGTTCTAACCACTGCCTACTCAGAACAAAAAGAAACTAAGGTTGAACACGGAAACTAAGATGTCCTGTTCTGAGAGGCCAAGCACTGTTCCAGAAAATTGCCAGAGGCTGTGCAAAGGGCAAGTCCTTCTGTGTCCACTGAGAACCCTCAGAACATGCAGAGGTGAGAATCTATAGAGCCAGCAACCCTACCAATATACATGGATCAGAAATGAGAAGGGGTGGAACTTCCGTGACCACAGGTAAGGACCAGTGAAATCCTCTGGATGGGCACCCAGGTCCTGGAGCAGTGCCTGGACTGCACAGCAGGTGGCTCAAACACCACTCGGAACAGCCCTCATTTCTACCACAAATGGGAACCCAAGGCCACAGGGACAACCTCACACCCAAGGAAGGGTGACCTGGGTGGCCTCCTCGCAGGGATGCAGAACCAATGATCAACACCATCCAACTAAATGTGGTGAAAGGTTTTATAATTTATTTACAGTGTTCCAACTAAATGTGTCAAATGTTCTCTGCATTTCAGGAATTGCAATTGCAGTGTATGTTTCCCCACTGGCAGCTGCAAAATTGGGCCCCTGTGTGGGGAGAGCTGAGCCAGTAGGGGCCGCTGGAAGGCTGGAAGGCATATCTAAGACTCTGCACACGTGGCTACCTTCGTCTGACCTCATTCAAGGTCCACCTGTGAGGATACTGCTCTGTATGGCTCCTGGCTTTCAACTCATCCAACTACCCTGCTCTGGCCCTGCTCACAGCTCGAGGCCTCTGCACACCTTACTCTGGGACACATGCAGCTGGCGGCACTGGAAGCCATGACACCCCTCCTTACATTACTGTAAAGAGACTGCTCACAGGGACACACTACCCCCATCAGCCTCAGCACTGTTTCAGGGCAGAAGCTCAGGATGTTCATCCGCTTTGCCAATTCTTTAATGACAGATGGATGTATATTACTGTCCAAGGAAGTGGGATGCTCCTCTCCTTCAGAGAGTGGTCTGATCTTTCTCAGGTTTCCCACATGTGCCTCTCCAGCACAAACCCTAAGAGCCATAGGTGAACAGTCTCAACCCACAGAGGAAGACGTGGAAGCTCTGCTCAGGAGAAAGCAAGGCTCATATCCTAAACTTTCTGCTTAAACCCCTGTGCTACTCAGCCTCTTCCATGAGCCCTGGAAGGAGCAGTCAGGACTGGAGGGGGGAAGAGATCCTTGTACCCTTGCAGATCCTCAGCTAGCACAGAAATGTGCAAACCAAAACACAGCCACCCAGTTTGTCTGTGCAAGTTCTACCTATCTCTGGCTTTTGAGTACAGTCTCCTTGGGTGAACTGACTCTCTACACTGAGACAGATGCCACCTGACATTTGACCATGACCCAGGCTCTCCTGGCAATATTCAGTTTTCCAGTCACCCTGGGAAGTGGCTGCCAAGGGGACTTGGGTTCTCCTCAGAAGGTGACGATCTCTAAGCCTTTTGTGCTCAAATGCTCTGGCCCAACCCCTACATAAGGTCAGTGTGTCTTTAGAACCCCTCCCCACAGGAGATGGACTCATGCCCCCTCCCTGTTGTGCTAGCTGAGCAAAAGCAGCTTTCAACATCAAACCAGGGCAGAGGGATCCAGAGAGACGTCCTCACTGAATACCACATCAAACACGATGGAGAAGTGACAGGTCAGGCTACTCTTTCAAACTAACAGAAACTTTCAAAGTCTCTGTTAGGAGTAAAAGCAACAGCAGTCATTTCCCCTCCCTTTTCTTGGCCCTTTCCTTCCTTGGTGCACCAACCCAAGGACAAAAGAAATTTAACAGCATTCAGGAGCCAAGGAGAACTGGCTCTGGGTTGCAAACCCTGAAAAGTACTTAAGGCTTCGAGTGCAGCAAGCAAAAGGGGTAGAGGGGAGACAATCCACAAGCAACCTTAGCAGACGAGAGTCTTCATGCAGGAACCATGAGGTGCCTACAAATACAGATCACATCCTGTAAAATCTTATTACTTCTAAATCTGTGTGAAAATGACTTTTATGGGTTATTTAAAATAGAAAATGAAGCCAAGATAGAACCATTCACAGAAGTCACCAAGCAGAGATGAAAGGCCAAGGCCAGCCTGGTGGGGCCTCCCTGAAAACCATCAGGCCGACTCCATGCCACAGAGCTATTTGGAGCCCTTATGCTGACCTGCTCCATGATGTTGGAAGTGTAGGTTCAGAACCCACAGCCCTCATGACAGGATGGAGCCCATGTTTCCACTGGAGGGCTGCCTGGGTCCCTGACCTTCAGTTTTGATTTAAATTACCTTTAGAAGAGAGAGGGTACTGGGTGCATCAGTAGAGGGGCTGGTTCTGGCCCAAATGGTTGCATCATTGATTTTTTGGTGGTGCTGGGGATTGAAGTCAGAGCCTTTGTATTAAGTTACATATCCAGTTCTTTTTAAAATTTTTTAATTTTGAGAGTATCTCATTGAAGTTGCTAAATTACTCAGGCTGGGATCAAACTTGCAATTCTGCATCCCAGAGCGCTGGGCTATAGGCAGGTACCATCAAGCCTGGCTATGCTACAGCTTCTTAAATGCCTCCCAACATGCCTTCCACACACATTACCAAAGCAAAGACAGAGACAAGACCAAAGTGCAAGACTGTACATACCCAGGTTCTCTCCTCCCCATACATCCATCATCATGTCATACTTCCCCAGCTCTTCAAAGTACAGCTTGTCCATCACGAACAGTCCACCAGCAATCATGGGAGTTCTGAGGGGCAAAGAGCAGGGAGCAGAGTTCAAGGTCACATGGACAGCCTTCTTCTGCAATGGCTGAGTCTGGGTTAATGAACTGGAAGAGGACATCATGAACATGCCCAAATGCCCCCACTTCACCCTGATGCTTCCTAAGCTTCCCCAGTCCCTGCCTGGATGCCCCTGAATTGCCAAGGCTGCTCTGGACCCACACTACAACAAGGGACTGATTTTGGGGCTGGGATCACTCACTGAGAAGCTGCCCTTGGTAAGGTACTTAGTCTTCAGGGCCTCACTTTCCTTACAGGGTAGTTGTAAGAATTACCAAAAATAAATACAAAAGCCTTAGGCGCAGCCCCCTCTCCTGCCCCAGGCTCCTAGGATCCTGGAAGCATGAACATGAGGTAACACACAACACCGGCAGGTGGGCCTCATGACCTGTGAGGCTTCCTGAGGAGACTCAAGGGTTTGGCCATCTGGTGGCAGCACCAGCCTGAAACTTGGTGAAGGAGAAGGAGCAGGAGAGAGAGCGGACGCAGCCCACAGCCATCAAGGCCCAAAGGGCCATGCTCACCTGCAGCTGACACTTACTTAATGGGGGCCACCGGGTTCCCTTGCCGTGACCTCCTCTGCTCTGGTGTCATGTAATCCCATTTGAACACCAGGTTCCAGTCAAACCCTGTCGCAAGAAAAAATTCAGACAATGGTGAGGAACTGACCTCCTGTTTTCAGCTCCCTGTCTCTCACAGCTTACAAACATGTGGTGTGGAAGGGGCTCACGGAAAACCAAATGAAAATGAAAACACAAAATAATAAGGGTCACAAGAGAGTGACTGGGGAGGGGAGCTGGACAGGAGACGGATGAAGAGGGGTGTACTGACATCTTCCTGACACTCCCTCAAAAGGAAGTGTAGGTTAGGCTTTTCTAACTTTAAAATGCAAGAGGGACAGGGTGTGACTCCACGGTAGACTACTTGCCTAGCTTGTGTGAGGGCTGGGGTTCCAGCCTGCCCTTCCCCAAAATAAACAAGAAAATATTGTAAGAACAAACGTGAAATACAAAGGGAACTGGGGTCTGTGTCTGACACAACTGCATATCCAAGGGCTGCAAGAGGTGAAGACTGAGCAACCACTCCTGACCACAGCCCTGTGTCTCCAATGCTGCCCACAAGACAGGAACACTAGGGCAGGGAGACCTATGGTCAGTCCCCTGGGCTTGCAAACTGCACCTTGGTTTCTCTTCATTGCAACTGAAATTGTATCAGAGCAGGAATAATGGGCATATGAAGAATTTTAGATGAAAATTAATCAGAATGTTGTAAAACTGGGACAGGAAGCTTCTGGTAAATATGACCCCTGTTCTATTTCATTCTTAAAGAGTACATATGCTTAGACTACCATGAAAGGAAGTCCCTGGACCTTGCACTTGGCCTCAGGCACTTGCAGGGCCCCAAGTCCTAGCAACAAGGTTTTACTCTTCCACTGAGACCAGTGCACCACCTTGAAGCTCTCTGGACCCTCAAAGACTGCATTTGGCAAACACACACCATAGTACTGCAATGGTAACCCACAGGTTTGGGCCAAGGACCACAGGTCCCTAGAACTCCCTGTCTTTCACTCTGGACCTCCCAAGGTCTCTGCTCTCAAGTTTTCTGTCAATAAGATTCCTGCAATGCTCAAGCTTGAATTTCTCATTTGGATTCAGGATCTTACTAACGTGCTATAGAGATAACCTTTATTTATTTATTTATTTATTTTTATTTTGAAGAGAATAAAAGCAAATGAAATAGAATAGAGTCAATCAGTACAAAACGAGGAACATGGTACATGACTTAAAAACAAAATACAGGGAGATCAACAGTGGCTACCATAATGCCTCTTGTTATCTTCAAAAGAACTGCCCATACCATCAGGCATAATAAAATCAAACAAAATAGTACAGAATAAAACCAATAAAAACAAATCAATAGAAATAGTGCAGGATTTCAAAACAAGATAACAGTGAGACCACAAGAGGTACCATGACACATCTAGTTATACAGATAACCTTTAACATATTAGCAATTCTACGAGGATGTCATCCTTCATAAAATGCTCTTGGCATGACCTCAGCCTGGCTCCAAACCAGTAGAAAGCTGCACCCACTGGGACTGTCCATTCTCGTATCTGCTCTAGTGACCTGGAAGGATGGGCAGCTCTTCCAGACCCTCAGGGAGCAACGTGCTCTGCTACTACCACTCTCTTATGACAAAGGTCCTGTTCTCTTCAAAGTCCCCTTGCACTCTTTCTTACCACTTGTTAGGAATCTTCCCCAAGTTTTGTATTTCTCAGTTTGTGTACAGCCACAGAACACATCCACCCTCTGAGGGGTGGGTGGCTGCTTGGTCCCATCTTATCCTAGTGAAGACTAACACACTGTCACTCTCATCCTGTCATGACCTATGTGCCATGATGATTACCACTACTCAGATGGGGAAGCTAAGGGCACATTACCCCCCTCCCCCACCCATAGCAACAGGGTCTGTAGGTGTCAGGTAGAGGGCATGGCCCTCAACATCCAGCACTCTAGCCCTGGAGGGCAGCTGGGTTCTCACAGTCCTGTCTTCTCTTTCAGACATTAAGACCAATAGCTGGCCCTGTGTCTGTAATTGTCCCATCTTTCTCCAATTAGTTGACATGTTATCAGGTGGGACAGAGACCCCCAATTTCATGTAAAGAAAGAGGGTCCTAACTAGCTGCACAGGGGCTATAAATCTCAGATCTAATGGGTCTGTGTCTGAAATGGCCCAGGGGATGCCTGATGGTGCAAATGCCTAAGTTCTCCTTCAGTGGCTCAGGGCCTCTCTGACTTCTTGGAACTCACTGGAGTTACAGAACAGAAGAGCTCAGTCACTGAGTTTTAGCAGGATTCTCTGGGAATCCTCATGCTGTTTGAACACCAGGTTCCATTCAAACCCTGTCGCAAGAAAAAATTCAGACAATGGTGAGGGACTGACCTTCCGTTTTCAGCTCCCTGTCTCTCAAATGGTGTTCAAATCTCCCTCACACCAGGGATATAAAAAGCAGGGGCCACATGTACCATGACTGGTCCTTAGATACCATCACAGAACTAAATATTCCTAGATGTGATCTGGGACCCCTCATGACCTCAAATCTTCTTGCTCTGCATGTGACCTACAAGCCACCATCAATTCCACTGCTCAAAAGTGAAAGATGGGCTGCAGGATCGTGTACCTACTTCATCTCATGTTTTACAAATCTCTTGGCTTTAACACAGTGAATGCTGATACACAGCCACACAAAACCTCTGGGGTCCTCGAAAGTAATTGGACAGAGAGCGTTTCAGGTGAATTGTTCTACAGCTCCTTGGAGGTGGGTGTGAGGGAAAGGCTGGACGTTGAGGGGACTAAGGGAAGCTGGTGGTCACTGAGACAAAGAGCTCCAGGCAGTGGGCAATTGGGATTGGGATCATCGAAGGAGCCAGTTTAAGAAGGAGAACTCCTAGAACTTGGTGCCCAGTGGGTGGTGAGGAGCTCGGTCTCTACCTGGTTGATCAGTGAGAGATACAGGGTTCTGGGGATAAGGCTGGATGAGCCCAAAGCAGGTGAAAACATGACCCTTTCCTGCTCAAAATCTCAGCTCTGTGAAGTTCCTCTTGTCCTGCTTGTCAGGAAGGACCTCTAGAGTCCCTGGCTTAAAGCAACATCAGGGGGTCTCACCACTGCTGACCAGTGAGGCCAGCACGACTGCTCTAAGTCATGAAGCTCAAAGAGGCAGTCACAGGTCCAGATGAAAGGCAGAATGCAGCCACTCTCTTAGGGAAGATGCTGCGGGGTGAAGGCTGCTGTCACTGTCACTCTTGACTGTGGAGACAAGCTGGGCAGGCAAACTATTATGGACACCTACCGCCCTTCAGGTCAGCGGAGGCCCCCACATACTGAAAGTTGTCCATGTTGATGACATCGATGATGGGTGACACCACTCGAGTCCTGTCCTGAGCAGGACAGAGAGAACAGCTGTCAGATTCCAGCACAGCCAACAGCCTGTCCACAGTCCTCCATGCCAAGCAATCATAGACTGACAGCTTCCCTTCCCACCCAGGTCCACAGAAGGGGCAGCTACTTGAGGGGGTGGCTGGGCCCAGGATACTCTGCCATCTGTTCACCCCACTAAAAGCAAGGACTACACAGTGGGTCTGGTTTGCCTCCAAAATTTTAACCACAGGGTTGTTGTCATCTCCTGGAAGCTAAGTCCAGCTACATTGGCATCAGTTATTATCATTCAAGAGCAGCAGTAGCTTAGGAGCAGACACGCTGCTAAACTGCCTATGCCACAAAATCATGGTGTGCGTCTCTAGATGCACATGGGGTGTAAGAGAGATGTGCAGACTATCAGTATTATTATAGCAGAAGGGAAACCAAGGCAACTAGATGATCCTAGTGATCCTAAACTTAGCCTTACAGGTGATCCCACCAAAGCCTCCCCTCCTGGGTCATCTCTGTGACGGTGCTAGTGGGTCACAGTCTGCACAGTCCACAGCTGCAATGGCTGGCCCTCAGCACAGAGTCACAGTGGCTGAGTGCTCCCAGTGGGCCACACTGGCAGCTCTTCTTAGCAGAGGACTTAGAAAAACAATCTCACAACAATCTAAGAGAATATTTCAGGTTCCTAATTGCCACATGCAGATTTACAGAGAAAATAATTTGCATAGTCACAAAGGACCAAGAACGAACTTGTCTGTCTCAGTGGGGGGTTCAGAGAGTATACATCTTTTGTATTTCTTCTGGAAAGTTGCCAACTAGTGAGAGTCAATCACCTCAGCACCTACCCAGTGAAGGAGGAGGGTGTGAGACAGCTCTGCATCCCACACAGGCCACTGGCTATATGCGTGCTGACCTGTGGCTGTCTGGGTGTGGCTGCTTTCCAAGGACAGTGGCAATGGGAGTATTTGCAGGGCTGGGTGGAAGGAATTCCATAGTAGGTTCTATGGTGCATATATGGATGTGTGTAAAAGATCGATTTGGTTAGGGACCAGACAAGACCCATCCTACCATCTGCCGCTGCATGGTCTGGGATATATTATCAAAGGGCTTAAAGTCATCTCTCTTAGTGCTAGGATAACCACCAGCACTAAAGGTAACACAAACCAAGTGCCTAGTGTGTTGTTTGAATCCAGTAAAGGGCAGCTGAATATGACTTTCATAATTACCGGCAGCTCTCGGTTATTTAGTATTTCATGATGTGCCTGCCGCCTGTCAGTTTCATTGTGATGCTGAGGGCAGAAGGGCTTATTCATTTTCTACTTCCTTACACAGGGTTTGCCTTATTGCCCCTGAGAAAGCACTTTCATAGCAAGATGGAAAGAAAGTCAATAAAACAAGCAGAAGGCAGAGAAATAACACAGGGCCACACCAGTATTTATAATGATGGTTCCAACATGCCAAAGGTGCACAAAGCGTGGCCATGGTCACCCTGATTACAGTGCTCAGAGACTACCTGCCTCTCCCCACGAGCCTTGAGTGATCGGCCAACCCAGTCTTCACTCAGAGCAGAAGGGCCCTATAGTGTGTCCCCAGCGTGGACTGTACTTTCAATGTCAGGATGTGTCAGCCTTATGCATCCCAGGCAGCCAGAGCCCATGTCAGCTACAAGCAACGGGGGAAGATGCGGAAGACTCCTTAGCTGCAGGGTCCTCATCAGTCTCTGCTGAGCACCTCTGCCTATCGAGGGACTGCTGCTCATGCTGATGGATCCCTGAGGCCCATGAAACCCTCTGAACTAATGTCCCAAGGTCACTGATTGCTCTCTGGTATCCAGGAATCCTGCAGCCAACCCGTGACCTGCTCCCTTCCTGCACCTTCCTTCTCATGCCCGCTGCACAGCCTCACCTCAGCAACCCGCTCCAGCAGCGGCTCCAGCCAGTGCTCATTACACTCACAGTGGCTGTCCAGAAAGGTCAGGACCTTGGCCTGGGCAGCATCAGCGCCCCGGACCCGGGAGCGCATCAGACCTGTGGAGTGAAGAGAAGACCTGGATTAGGACAGGCTGCCTGCTGGGCACCTAGCTCCCTGTAGACCTGTCTGGCAGGGTCAGTGCTGCCCTGTGATTACCAAGTCTGGGAGTTTTCAAGCAAAACAGCTAATTGGGTGGCTAGGAATACAAGTATCTTTGAACTACTATGTCCTGAAAAAGACCTTCATGTAGCTGAAGTTCCCTTCATCCAATACCTGCTCTTCTCATTCCCTTCACACAGAGACCTGGGTTCTTACCCCAGTGATTCCCCAAATTTGAAGCATCAGAGTTAATACTGACGCACGCTTCTGATTTCCAAGCAGGTCAAGAGCACAACCTTTAAGACTAGCAAGGGATTTATCAGTTATAAACTACCTATGTGGAACACAGTTTCTTCCTTTCTCTTCCTTCTCTTCATTCACTCCTCCCCTCCTCCTCAACTTTTAAAGTCTGTACTAACTTCTTTCCTTTTTAGGTGTCTGTGCCAGTTAATGTTTTAAGTTTAAATTCACAAAGTTATTTTTTAGATTGTTTTTGGGTTTTGTTTTTTTTTTTTTTTTTTTTTTTTTTTGGTGCCAGGGATCAAACTCACGACCTCGGGTTTGCCAAGCAGGTACTTATGCCGCAGAGCTAAACCCCGGCCCCATTTTTTACATTGTTTAGAGGGCAAAAATGATGCAAGAAATTATAAAGTTTTCAATTTGTTGTAGGTTTGGGGGACTGATGTGCATCCAGCAAACAGAGTTCCTCAAGGGTGAAGTTTAGCTATTTATTATTCAGCGTCTGTGCCAATGCTCTTAGTAGTTGGAACAGGTGTGGACAGTGCTGCCAAGGACACCTTCCTTTCTTGACTCCAGGGGGGCCACACAGGGAACCAGAGACAGAATGTGCCAGTGCAGGGTTAGCGGCCATCCTCAGACTGTGGGAGTGACAGGGTTTCTCCAGTTGTGGGACTTTCAGAGACTGAAAGATTCCTCCAGCCTGAAGAAGAGCTGAACATCCAGTACACCACCCTGAGCTGCACTCTAGACTGCCCCGGAAGATGATTATGCTGATCTGAGCTTCCAGACATACCTGTCAGCCCAGCACGTTCCCTCGAGAGCTCTTCCGCATCCTTATGCAGGCTTGGGAGAGAGCTCCTCTCAGACGTGACTGATGACAGTGCTGGGACTGGCATTTGCAGCATTGCAGGAGCACATAATTACAGCGCTCCTTGGGTTTGGATGGTTCAGCTTCAGCAGGCTGTCAGACTTGAGCCTGTTATCTTATCAGATGCCTGAAGTCTGGAGTCATTAAGCTTCTCATGGCTAAATCTTTGTTATTCTTTTAAAAAGCAACCCAAGGGACTTACGGAGATTTCTTCAGTTATGAAAGAAGGAGGACCACTTTCTAAGTAGGTGAATAAAGTGTAATTTATACTTTTGCCCTAATGTATACACAATTTCAATTAAGCTTTTAATTGTCCTTTCTATGTCTACTGGGACAGGGTTCCTGGCTGCTCTGCAGAGAGGGACAGACAGAAAGACTAGACCACTAATCCTTCTCTTGATGCAAGTGCTTCCTTAAGGTATTACGAGGCTCCGTTAAGTCAGAATGAAGCCATTTCAACAACAATACAAGAAAGGAGACTTACCTTCTCGGCGATCATTCCTCAGAACCCGAACTTTCTCAATTTTCCCCAAGAGGGCCCCATCCTCAGCTAGGAAAGAAAAGAAAAGCACGGTGAACTCCAAGTTGAACTCCTTGATGGAGAATGGCACCCCTTGGTTATCTACAGACTGGCCCTCTCCTTAGGACCCTGGAAAGATGCCCCTCCTTGTCACCTGGGTGACCACATACACTGACATCCCACCTCAAGGGTTGTTGTGTGGGACTCGAGCCACAATGCAGTACTCACGGTCATTGCTGTAGTCGTCCACCAAGATGATCTCTTTTATGAGATGGGGTGGACTTCTCTTCAATACACTGAGAAAAGATAGGAAGATAAAGGCTGTGGGCCTGAGAGGTCTCACTTATGTAGGGACATATCCTATCTGGACCCATCTTTGGCTGGAGAAACCAATAGACACTCCTGGTATTGAGGGGTTGAGGTACCCTGTCTGAAGCACCTATTACTGCACTGGCCTAACTGCCTGGGATATAACTCATGTCAGCATTCTGACGGGTGAAGCTCCCAATGATGTCACAGGTAATGATGGTGTCCCTGGGCCTTACCTGACCACTGTCCTCAGCAAGGCCGACCTGGCTTCATTGTGGAATGTGATCACCACACTGGTGGCTGGCAAGTCCACCCTCCACTGCTTTCTCTGGCACCTGAGAGGGGAGACAGTTGTCTGAGCATAGACAGCAGAAGGGCTGTGGCCAGCTTCTGAGGTCACAGCCAGGCCAAACTGCCAGCTGTGACGAAGCCATCAGATGCAGCAGCCACCGGCCAGCTGTGGGATGCAGCATTAGAAGGGCACGTGGAGACAGAGAACAACTGAGGTCACCCTTAGAGACAGCTTTTAGGACAGAAACAAACTGAGGATGTCTAACCTAGAAAACAGTATACTGTAACACAGTAAAACCTTCAAACATCTCTAGCCATGTGCTCCCCGTAGGTCTCCCTGGGAGTTACATTGCTGTTCTTCTTACCTTAGTCTTCTGCCCACCATGAGCTGGTGCAATTCCTAACAGTCACAACTTGGCTCTTGTGGGCACGGGGAACCCACTGCCTGATCTACCTTATCTCAACATAGGGACATAAGTGATGGCGAGCTGACTGGTAAGCTCAGTCACAGCTCCATTCCCTGAGCAGCAGGCAACACTAGGCTGAACTCCTAACAAATCAAAAGGCACTTCTCCAGTTTGGGTTCTGTGGATAGATACTGGCTGGAGGACCCTCATATGCTACTTAGAAACAGGATTCACACAGTTCCATGCTGAAGATGTTGAACTATCACAGGGCAGAAAAGACATCAAGGCTGGGCTCAGCAGAATCTACCCAAAGAGCCTACCTAGCCTATGGACTTGAGGATGCCAGCACAATCCGATGTTCCCAGAGTCCCAGAAGAACAAGGTCCATGAGCAGGGTAGGAGCTTTTGAGGACAGTGGCAAGATGTCAACTGTGACTAAATGCAATGAAGTCACCAAACTGGTGACATTATAGACATCAGCATGGCAAGGAAGCCAGGAGGTGTTACTGTTTTCATAGAGCATTCTGCCCCGAGACACACACTGAAGACTTAAGTTTATGCTCTAGCTGTTAATGTAGCTTCCACAGCTATCAATTACCTGCTCCCAGAATTAATGACAGGATCTATCTTGCACAAGAAATCAATGAGAAAAGGAGATGGATTCTAATAAAAGTTGGAGCTCAGTCATGACTAAAATGTAAATTGTTGAGGACTAAAACGGATACTCAAGCAGCTGCAAGGTGGTGACCACAGATCAGTGGGTGCTCCTTGGGAAGAATAGTTGGCAGTTGCACACATTACCTCAGGGTTGTGAAAATGACAGACTTTTAACATGCACAGGAAAAACACCACCATATGCAGCTAATAGGTAAGAATCTTTGGTTATTACAAAGTTAGCTTGTTTTAATTCATCATGAAAAAACCAAGTAACAATCACTGTTGTCTGGGGACAGTCTGGAATTAATACGTAACCTCACTGTGCCCAAGGTTTTACTGACAAGTGGACTGATATGCTAGTTTTTCTTATTTAACTTTTAAGAATTAGCAGATAGTCTGATTAAGGAAGTGAGAATCTGAAGGCTTCAACTGTAAACAAATTATCAAGAACCCAATTTGTAATGCTAATGAAATAAGGACCTCCACATTGGGAGGCCTCAATTTCCTCAGCAATTAGATCCCACTTAACTCTGTGGGAAGAGCAAACAGCAGACTGGGCTAAATGTGAACATTCAAAAGGACACACAAGATGGCATTTTTCACTCTTACAGCAAACCTAGCTGATTCAATCCTGTTCTGCACTCTCAGTTTCCTCTTCTCTGCAGAAGTCTACTCTCCTTGAGTGTCTGGGCCCTCAGGGCTCCTGAACACGCAGAGGTAATACATTTGCACCATTTATTAAAATTTCTCTACATATTCATAAGGCATTAGGTTTTGCTATGACTTGGCAACCGTGGAACTTATGAGAGAACATCTTCAAGGCAGGGAAATCATAAGCAAAAATGGAAGCATTTCATGCTGTGTGACTATGCTTATAGGAATCCAGATAAACCCTCATGCTGAAGCACAGGTAGTCTGGAAAGACCCTCCTTAACAAGAAAAGGCATACATTTCCCATTTAAAGGGCCATTTCCCTGCTACAGCCATTTGCTGCTCCAGAGGCAATGAGAAAGCTCAATATAACAAGATGCTGTACAGTAGCTAGGGCCTTCCTAGCCGCTCTCTTGGGAAGCTGTGCCCATCCAAGGTCCTGAAGGAAGCAGCAGCAGGCACTGAGGGAAGGATGAGGCCCTGCATGTGCTTCTACAGGTTGAGTACTACAAGGTCACTCTGAAACCTTCCTCTCCTGTGAAGTGGAGACTTCAAAAACCAGATACATGCTTGGTGTGGCAGCATATGCCTGCAAACCCAGCTACTTGGGCACTGAAGCAAAAGGATCACAAATTTGCAGACAGCACAGGCAACTTGGCATGATCCAGTCGCTAAATAAATAATACATGGCTGAGATGCAGCTCAGGTACAGAGCTTATGCGCACCTGAAAACCACCCAGTAATGAGAAAAAGAATGAAAAAAACCAGACATGAAGTTTTTTGTTCTGTTTTAGTGGGAGTATGAACACTGTTAGACCTTTTTCTTATTTAGACAGGGTCTCAGAGTTTCCCAGGCTGGCTAGGCTGGCCTACAACTTGAGATAAAGATTAAAACAAAAACAAACCAAAAACAAAATTGCAGTTGGTGCTGGCAGAAGCTGCCATTCAGGCATAGGGTATACATTTTTCTGGTAACTTGAAGATAAAGCCAGTAAGTCAGGTTCATTGGGGGTGGAGTAGGGGTCCACTTTTAAGTACATGTGCAGTGCCTTGGGGAGCAGGGTGGTCACAGCCAGTTAAAAGGAGAAGGTTCCCAGATCTGCAGGAGCTCAAGGAAGAAAAGGGAAAGGTAGATGGGGGAACAAGTTTGAAAGTATGCAAGAGAGGGGTCAAGAATCTGTAGAAGGGGCTAGGGATTTAGCTCAGCGGCATAAGCACCTGCCTTGCAAGCAGGCAGTCGTGAGTTCAATCCCTGGTACTGGGGGAAAAAAAAAAGAATCTGTAGAAGGCCCAGGGAGAGGGTGTGGTCAGCAGCAAACCATGCTTGCTGTGAGATGGCTACCAAGACTAAACAGATGATCACAGGAAACAAAGACCATGGGAAATATGCTCTCCTAGAAACACCCTTTAACTCAGTTTTTAAAGAAAAACACTAAGCAATTAGAATGATCAGTGTTAGTTTGTTTTTGCTGCTAGAATGGAGAGCCACACACTGGGTAATTAATAAAGTCATGGGTTCGTTTTACTCAAGGCTGCGTCTCCCTTGGTCTATGGTAGGCAATGTCACCACCAGTGTATGCAAAGTATTTCAAACAATCAGAGATGAGGACAAATACGCAGGCATCTCCACTCTGCCACAGCAAATTTTCCACTTTGCAATGCTGCTCAGGTTTTCTAAATGAAATGACATGACAGGTAGTAATTACAGTCCTTTTTCTGTCCCTTGCTATCTGTCTTAGTTACTCTCTCATTGCTGGGACAAAATAACCAACACCCACAAGTTGACATGATCCTACTGGCTTGAACCACTTATGATACATGTGTGACCTTCCCATGGGGTGGCTTGTGCCACTGGTGGTACAAATGGATGTAATCACTTTTATCAATGATTTTATTAGTAAAATCCCGATAAGACAGTCATGCATGTACTGCCCCTATTATGAGCACATGAGGCTTTAGGGGGACAACCAGGTACAAGCCATAAGACTACCTCAATGCCCATCTCCGAGAAGTAGTGACTACCCTGATTTGGCGCTTCATTATTCCTGTGTTTTTAATACATGACACGGTCCATATTCATGAATGGTATTTAGTACTCTTTTCTGTCTACTTAGGTTTTAAGGGGTATTGTTGCCAAGACACCATTTTTGGGAGGATGCCTGCCTCAACATGGCTCTTCTTCATCCACACTCACTGCAGAACAGACCTCACCCAGGCACCTACCTGCTGAGGCTGCTTTCTCCCTGTTAGAAGCATAGAAACACAGGTGGTCCTCATCTAGGGCTGAGGTCGGCTGTCATTCCCCTCCTGGGGACTGTTATAGATTCTGTGCTTCCATGTCTCTGCCTGAAGGCATGGCCCACTCCCCACCACGGCTGTACCTGTTCCACTCCTACCCCAGGATGAGATAATACTGCTTCACAGTCTCACAATCCCTGCTGTCATGATTTTAAATCGTGCCGACCAGACCCCAATGAAGTGATCTCTGTTATTTCTATTTCATGTGCCCCATTGCCAGCAAGGCCACACGTTTCTCCTACATTTATGAGCTGGCTGCTTTGCTGCTTCTGAACTGCCTGCTCATATGCTTCATCCCCTTTCCTAGCTCTCTGACGATGGGAATTTACATTTTCTGGATATTGCCCTTTGTCAGCTATGTGTGTGGCCAAATCTCTAAGTCTGTGGGAGGTTTTCTCATTTTATGATGCATTTAAATTTGCAAATTCATTTTAAAATTTTGCTTTTTCAGTGTTGGCCCAGGGGTATTATTTAAGAACATTTTTCAAATCTAAGATTATTAATATATTGATAGATTTTCTTCCAAATGCTTTAACTTTTAACCACTTACTCACCCAGTTATTTAAATATAGGATGGGCAAACACTGCATATTTTTCATTAATTTTTATAAGACACTAGAATAAGAAATATAAAGATGAAAATTTTATTCAGTACAAGAATCAATGAACCTGAAATGAACCTGCCTGAGCAGCGCTCAACTACACTAACAAATGCCGCTGTCTGAGTGATGCTCAGGGTTAAATGTAACGTGAGTAAAAATGTTTTTCACTTTAGGTATCTGTCTGTCTCTCTGTCTATTAGTCAGCACTAGTGGTTGAACAAGGGCCTTTACAATGAGTTTCCTCCCCATCCTTTTTTGAGACAGAGTCTTCCTAAATCACTAAGTTGCCAAGGCTGGGACTGAACTTGCAATCCTCCTGTCTCAGCCGTCCAGATCCTGCGGTTACAAGTGTGCACCATCATGCCCAGTTCTAAATATATTTTTATAAATGATATACAAAATTTCATTTTCTTGTGAGTGGATAATCCA